TCCTGAGTAGCTGGGATTACAGGCACGCACCACCATGCCCAGCTAATTTTTTGTATTTTTAGTAGAGACGGGGTTTCACCATGTTGACCAGGATGGTCTCAATCTCTTGACCTTGTGATCCACCCCCCTCGGCCTCCCAAAGTGCTGGGATTACAGGCTTGAGCCACCGCGCCCGGCCTTATTTTGTGTCTTAAAAGTAAGGCAGTACAGGCCGGGCGTGGTAGCTCATGCCTGTAATCCCAGCACTTTGGGAGGCCGCGGTGGGCGGATCACTTGAGGTCAGGAATTTGAGACCAGCCTGGCCAACATGGTAAAACCTCGTCTCTATGAAAAATAGAAAAATCAGCCGGATGTGGTGGTGCATGCCTGTAATCCCAGTGACTTGGGAGGCTGAGGCAGGAGAATAGCTCGAATTCGGGAGGTGGAGGTTGCAGTGGGCCGAGATCACAGGACTGCACTCCAACCTGGGTGACAGAGCGAAACTCTATCTCCCCACCAAAAATAGTAAGGCAGTACATCAGACTTAGGAAGTGAGAAGTATGGGAGTTTGCAAAATCTCTTTTTTTTTTTTTTTTTTTAAGATGGGGTTTCAGCATGATGGCCAGGCTGGTCTTGAACTCCTAACCTCAGGTGATCCGCCCAGCTTGGCCTCCCAAAGTGCTAGGATTACAGGCGAGAGCCACCGCGCCAGGCCGCAAAATCTCTTAACACAGATCAACAAGGTGAGATTGAAGCTGGGTGTTGGTCAGTCAGAGGATAGGAAAGACAAATCTTACTTTTTCCTGGGCTTCCCAGAGTTGTAGGAGTAGCTTACTGAGCAATCCCTGTTCTCATACCTTGATTGTATTTCTTAGGCTTCTCCAGTTTGACATCAGAAGTTGAAACACTTGGTTCCATTTGTTCCATGTTTGGTTCATCTTTAACTGGCACCAATGTCAAAATCACACTTTCTTCATCATCTACTTCCCCCTCAAAGAAATTCTGGAAAGAGAAGAGTCAGTCACTGATTCTCATTTGATGCTGTACAACTAAACTGCTTGCTTTCAAGGCACAACTAATGAATAAGGAACCTAGAATACAATAGGTAGATGGAGAAAAGAATTACTGAGACTCCTTGAATGTGATGTTGATTAGCAGACCCTTCATTAAATAAGGGAAACATGGAAAAAATGGGCAAAAGCCAATTCACATGTAGGTGTTAATGAAAGAGAAAATAAAACGGTAGGGCTTGGGTTTAGAGACCTATTTCCCTCCAAGCCTTCCTCTTCTTCAGCCAAAACACAGAATACTTTCATTGTGCCTCCTCAATCTGTATGGAACGTGTTCCTGCCTTTCCACCTTCTATCACGTGATTCCCAAGATTCCCAATTCCCATATCAAATTTCACAGCACAAGCAATAACCTCCTTTTATCCCCAAATCCATTCTAACTCTGCTATTTCTGCACCGATTGTTCCATGCTTGTTGAAAATTCTTCAGTGGCGTGTCATTGTTATTCTGGTTAATGACAAAACTAAAATTAGCTCACAGAGCTGTGTAGCTTACAAATTCTCCCACAGCCTGGTCCCTGCCTGCCTCTGCAGCTCAAAACCTCTGAGCTGTCTGAGCTCCAGCCACACTGGGCTCATTTCAGCTCTAACACCTGAGGGAGGGCATCTGTTTTACTCTCTGTTGCTTTCACAGAAACACAGCACCCAGCACACAGTAGGCATTCAATGTTGTTTTTATGATGTGATGAATGAAAGATAAGGTAGGAAAGCAGGTAGGTAGAAAGAAACTAACATTTACTGGTTCTGTACAGTACACAGGCACTATGTTAGGTGCTTTCTGTATTTCTCAAAGCCAATTCTCACAGTATACTTGCAGTAATTTATTAATTTTCCTGTTTTACAAATGAGGAAACTAAATGAGCAGTGCCATAAAGTAACACAGGCTTGAGTGTGGTTCTGAAGTTAGCTTTTCCTCTCAAATTCAAGGGTGAATAAACTCCATTCCAGTCCTATTCCAATATTCTCTTCCAGTGCTGATGCCACACCCCTCCACGTCTTCCATGTAATCTCTTCAATGGGTTCCCATTTACTCTTACTCTCAGTTTACTTCAAAATAACACTGACGTTATTTAGGGAATATTATTCTCTTAGGGAGAAAAGTAGGGGCTCAAAGCAGCTATGTGACTTCCCCATAATCATATAGCTAATGTTGACCAGTTCAGCCCTTTAGCCACACGACTGGTACAGTGGCACGTGTAAGTGCACTATGATACCTTCCCTGTTTAGTTTCTCAGAGGGCCAGGACCACCCCAGCCTAATCCGGAAACTCATTTGGTACCAAGGCCACTGGGAGTAGAGATTTCCTACTCCTAGAGAAAGTAACTCATTGGTCACTTTATGACTTTATCCACATTGCTCTTTTCACTTTCTTTTTACCTTAGCTTTAAAATATATATATTTTTTATTTTTTCCCTATTACTATTGTTCTCCATTCCATTTTTTAATTTTTTATTTATTTATGTATTTTTACCATTTTTATCTTGTCCAGCTATAGCACTTCTTGTCTTTCCTACCGAAAGAAATATTTTCCTTTGGACTAGGAGGAGACATTTCTCCTTCGTTTGACTCTGATCCAAATGCACATGAAAGCACAATCACATGAAAGAAAACTAACAATCCATTTGCAAAGAGGAGGAGGTTTCAAGATGGAGGTTTCCAGAAATGGAGATTTGTGGCAAAAAGGAAACATAAGTGAGACCTACAAAGACTCTAAAAAGCGACTGTGTGAGAAAAGTAATTCTGTTAGAACCAAACTTACCTTCTTACTGTTATCCAAATTTGAGTCTGACATTTTCAGCAACACCCTGGGGAAGGCAAGGACAGCAGTGTTAAACATATGTTAGTTTACTTCCCTTAACCTGATTTCTCCTTTTATAAGCAAATCTCTCCTACTTCCTGTTACCCAGATGAGCTCTGTTTTGCTTTTTTTCTCTTTTTCCCCTCCCTCCTTTTCTGACAGTGGGATAATTTTATCAATTTAATACCCTGTCTTGTCCATTCGATGATACTTTTTTTAAAAATTAGGCCGGGCGCGATGGCTCATGCCTATAATCCCAGCACTTTGGGAGGCCCGGGTGGGCAGATGCTTGAGTCCAGGAGTTCGAGATCAGCCTGGGAAACATGGCGAGACCCCAGTCTCTACCAAAATATACAAAAATTAGGCAGGCGCTGTGGCGTGAGCCTGTAATCCCTCCTACTCGGGAAGAGGGAGGGGAATTGCCTGAGCCCAGGACGCGCAGGCTGCAGCGATCCGAGTTCGCGCCACTGCGCTCCAGCCTCGCGAGACTGTCTCAAAAAATGAAAGAAGGAAGAAAAACAAAATGGGTGAAACTTGAAAGAAAACTGAAAATGACAAACACCTGTTGACAAGTTCCAATGGAATGAACAGATATTTTAGAACAGTTATAGGGTAATATTGGCAATAAATTACTTACTATGAAGGGAATGGAAAAAAAGATTCAGAGCATTTTCGGCAAGTATTTGATACCTGATTTATGCATATGGGTATGTTACTCACTGACAGACCCCAGGTTTAAACTGTGGGAGTCGGATAATCTCTCTTCGATCTAGTTTTAAATACAAATATTAAGCCTGCAATAATATTGAGCTGATTAGAGAAGGATTTGGCTGTTGAGAACTGCAAGAAGAGCCAAAACACCAAGTCAAGAGGTGAAGTAACGATGGCAGAAGGAGCTGATGCACTTGGGAACTGCTGGAGCCTAATGTTGGATGCAGAATGCGGTAAAATATGAAGCGAGCGTTCTCATAGGTCACTCTAAGAAGCCAGAGCAACTAAAGACAATTTCATTCGCAAATAATATGACAGCACTGACAACTAAGCGCCTTTACAACGGGCTTTGCTGTCCCTGGGTAAATGATTTGGTCCATTAATCTCAGGACCCTGGGCGACCATGGTCCCTTTTAAATTAGTAGTATGACACATTCAAAGTGTAGTCTGGACCTGGCGCGGTGGCTCACGCCTGTAATCCCAGCACTTTGGGAGGCTAAGGAGGGAGGATCGCTTGAGTCCAGAAGTTTGAGACCAACCTGGGCAACATAGTGAAACCTCGTG